TTATCATATCTTTAATTAAATGATTTTGCAAAGTTTCTGTTATTAGACTCTAGAATTTTCTCAATTACAGGAGTAATACTAACATATCAATAATCTCCATGATAACTCATTAAAAACACAAGAAACATTAGCAACTTTCAAATCCACAGACACCTACCCACTGTCCACACACTACAAGTATGTTCAAAGTTACTTAAGCAAATAACAACACGTTTAGTAAGTAAAACTTTTGGTGTAATGCAGCATGACCATGTTTATTAACTTGTTTATAACACTAGTGTTTTAATGTTCTTTAAACACTCTGTAGACCACAGTTAAAGACACAAGTGAAGCCACCCAGATGGTATTCAAATAATGAAGATATACAAAGGATGGGGTTGTACAGCTGAAAACATGGGCCCATCTGGAAAAAAAAATAAGGTGTTATGTTTTATGAAGATGTAATGGGGATGGAATAGTGTTAAATATATTGTTTATGAGGAGAATGTCTAAATGTTTGGGGGTAGGAGTTTACTCCATACTAAAATATGGTTTAGAGGGGATATTTGGACTGTCAAAATGTAGAATGGAGTAAAGGAAAGAGTCATATATTGGAGTGTGAACATAGTCTTGAGACAAACATTTGACACCTGTCTTTTTTTTTTTTAATACTGAATTGAAAATCAAAATATTTCAAACATTTAAAATTATGTTACTGGTGATTTTTTTCTGAGGGCAATTCCACAACCAACTTGAGTTTACTAAAGTATTATCACATTCAAGCAACTGCTGATAGTATTAAAACTATTATCAAGAGCTGGAAACTTAGTCCGTACATAAATAAATATACTTGTCATGACAATTTAAACAAAGTATTTTAAAAATAAAGTTTACGACATTTTCATTCTAATGATTATTGTACACATCAATAACAGAATTAGCATGATTATTGAAAAATGAATAATACTGGTTACACTGCACTGACTTACATTTTGTTAAGTTGCAAACACATCAATGCATGATCTTGGGTTAGATTTCAACCCAAAACAGGGCGAGTCTGCTTTATGCTTTAAAATGTATTGGTTATTTTTTTAATCATACTTTTCAGGACCAGTCAAGGTTTTAATCAGGATTGTAATGAAGATCAAAGATCAGATGTGTGCTTCTATTATCCATAGATCAATAGACAGACCCAAGTATCAGAGAATTCCTAATAAACTAGTAGTAATAGTACTACTATTTGTCAAGGGAGTGCCAGCTGGGTTACAACAGACAATAGTGGTTGTGATGCTATTTCAAATAAACATACATCATTTACAGTATTTAGATCACCTCAAAATACTGGTGGTGTGTATAAAAAGTATATTTAAATAAGGCTTGATAGATTTATTATAAAAAAAAAGTTTGTATTTGAATACTTTTCTAACCCGTTAAAGTTGAATACATTTTAATATCTTAGTAACTATTACATATACGTATATATAAACAAGTTACTAAACAATTATAATTTATAGTAATAATACCTATATAATTTGTATATTTTTAACCGAAACATAATAAAACCTTGTAAACACAGTATAACTTATATGGAGCTAAACTATTAGTATTACCAGTAGGTAAACAAAAAAAGCTTAAATTAAAGTTAAAATTACGCCTTTTATCAATTAAACTTAACGAAATCTGTATATTTTCTTCCGAAAAAAAAGTTACATCTAAATCTTGCTAATGGCAATAATGCGCATTACTACTGTTGTGTTCTATTCCAAACGAAGGTTATTTCACGCACATTTTTCCTCCAAACTTGTTCCTTTCAATTTTTGACAATTTTTATAACTTATACATTTTTGATTTTATTCTGTAGTTTAATTTCATTAACATAAATAAATTTAAACATCTTTAGGATATACCGAGACAGTAATTCAAGATAGTATTTTTATTAAAATACTTACTTTCTTGTTAGCATGTGGCTAGAAAAATACTAGTTACGCAAAGAACACGGCAATGTCGTTATTTTGGTGGAGTCAGACGTAGGTTTCAACAAGTATTTGTTCAAAGTTGAATTTCTTATGATCTTCACTTTTTACACGTATGTCAGGAAAAATTGGCACGTGTATCAAATATAAACTCTTAAGTTCAGTTTAAATAGGTTGTCACTGAGTAATCTGATATTCGCAAAATTACACTGTTCTAAAAACCCTATTAACTTATCGAAGCTAATTAATCCCAACACTGTACTCCTAACAGACTGTTGTCCAGTAACAACTAATAAGAAACAAATTCCACGCTCGTTCCACATTCCAACTTCATATTACAAAAGTGCACGTGATTGTATCAGTGACGTCACGCTATACTAGATTTGATAAACCTGCAGGAAATGCGTCAGATAATTTACCTAAGACACTGTACAACCTTATCAAAAGTACCAAGAGCATGAGTTCATCTCAAATATACATATTCATTTGAAGTAAAGAAAGCTATCAATGCTTTAAACGTATATTTCAACTACACAAGTTATTTAGTACACTAAGTCTATGAAATTTATCTCTGAATAAAAGAAAATGGTGTGAAAATTTTAGTACGAAATATATGGAACGCGTATCAAAATAAAACCATTCCACGGTGTTCCGACAAATATTAACCTGCACTGGTCCGTCTAGAGTAAGGATAATTTGAGCTTAATTTTGTTGGTGTTTTCCTGTTTTGAGTCGGGCGATTTTCAACCAAGGTATGTAGGAAAATAAGTCTAATCTACTGTATATAAAAACTGAAAAACAAAAACATATGCCTAAAGGTGTAGGCCTAATGGTTAGAATGCCGAAATCTGAAGCCGAGAGTGCGGTAAGAGTGACAGTAAACTCCCACTATTCGATTTGATTAGCTCAAGAGTTGTTAGCAGGTGATGTTGACTACTTACCTACCTTTTAGTCTAGTTAATCAGTTCAAAATTTCTGACCACTAGCGCATGTGACTCATATGTAACTTTGCGCAAACATCTGACACAAACTAACTAAAAAATAGACGAAGAATGGTGCTCAAGACGAGTATCAGCCACAATCAATGAATATTAAAAAGCCATCTGTTTGTAGCACCCACTACTGAAATGTATGCATTCTGTCTTCTAGACCACGACTGCACAAACACTGCATAACCAAACTGTACATTTTAAAAACATTCCAACTACCCCAAACTCTTCTATGATTGGCATGTATTCATGGTTTAATTCTTCAGACTAGATGTCTCATAAGACATTGATATTAGGCCTTTGATATTCTAAACAGGACATCTTTATTCAATCCCTTAGGATTTTTCAAGAAAGAGTTTATATTAATATATTTCAACCAAGAGTATTTACTGTATGTACATAACGTTTCTTTATTATATATGCGCGGCATCAGTTCGAACACTTGTAAATTATTAAGTTTTGGCTACTCAGGTATTACGTGTTTAGTATAATTAGTATTTTGGCACTTGTGTATAAAGTTAAAATCATAAATAATATTCAACGTCAAACTGGTACACAATTAAAAACATTTTATTTAGGCCTATCTTAATAAAATGTTTTAATTGTGTACCAGTTTGACGTTGAATA